GCCTGTTGGAGTCTGCCAACGCTGCTACCGAGGATGCCGGAGGAGAATGGGGGCATGAGAAGGATCGTGGTGTGCGTGCATGACGTTATGGCGGAGTGCTACCACCTCCAACCTCTCGGTTACTCCGTGCTGCAATTCATCATACTTGAAACCCCGCACTTTTCCCCCCACGAATTCCTTTAAGTCAGTGTATGCCGATATATATTTCCACGCCGTGTTGCTTCTTTTCCACCCTGAAATACCCTCAGATGTAACGTACCTGTCTGCTTTTTCTCCTCTTCCCCTACCCCAGCTCCCCCTTCCCCCTTCCCTTGCGTCTCGCTTGTTTTCCGGCTAAAATAACTATCCAGCGTACGCAGAGGTACGGAAGGTAACCCACGTCCTATCGAACCATTCTGGCGAGGAGGATGCTTCATCCTAACCGCGGTATTTCGACCCGATTGCAGGAGGGAAAAGGGAGGGAGGATCAAGAGATGGAAAGACACTTAGGAGAAGGATTGGACGGTGCTGTGCCTGGCTGGCGTTTGGGCATCATCACACGCGCCATGGATACGAAAATGGCACCGTGCACAGCAGATTTTCATGACGACGGTCGCAAACCTGCCTGTCGTGGCTCGTCTTTACGGTTGGTCTTTGTTTTGTACAGTCGTGTCGCTCAGGCAACGAAGAACATAGCGGTCTTGGCGATCCGGGTTGCGCCTCCGAGTCTTCGAATAAAAAAAAGCCGCGCGCGCCGCGCCGGCAGCATGTTGGTAGTGACGGAGACGGGGACGTAACACGAGCAGTGTCGAGGGAAAGGCCTTTGTCATGCGCACGCCAAAAGTACTTCTTAGGCTCTAGGTGGCCCGGCACGATCCAGGTGGTGCCTGGCAATAATAATTGCAAAAAGGGGTAAAGATCATTCTACCTCCCCAGCTCTGATCGAAATTAGGATCTCAGGGGCGCAGACAATTCCTGTCTGGGCCTGGCCTTCCCTCTGGCTAGGTCTTTATTCGGTTTCTATTGACTGTAACGTACATGTGACAAGTCCTGGTGGTGTCAGCCTCACGCCCCCGCGTCCCATTGCAGATATAAACCCGCACGCAGAGAAGTATTGAGCACTGGACGCTTGTTGTAGACGACTCATCACACGTTCTACAACCCATGGTTTGAAAGTAGAAGCATCAAAAAGAAAGTCGGCCAAAACAAGTGTTGTTGTGCTTCAGTGCAGCCAAAACTGTCCTCGTTCTTTTACTGGTCAATATCGCCCCTGTGAACCCTTTTCTTGTCTAAAAATCTTCCGCACATGCAGCCTGGAGGTGTTCGCCATCATCTTGCTCCTCAACAAGTGTGCCAGCCATTCTCTTCCCTCCTTTCTCCTTGTATTCACCTGCTTCAGGCACCACGCACCAGCTTCCTTACTTTCCGAGCCTCCTACACGGTAGCCCAACAAGTCTGTCTGTAGTCCCCAGACCCTCGCCCTGCCCGTACCTCCGTCCAAAATTGCATGCAGCCACGAAGACAAAGCTTATACTTTCCCTTACATTTTTTTGTACACACGTGCACGTCGGCCCCTCCCTCCCAGGTGCCTCAGTCTCAAAACTTCCTTCCCCTCACATGCATGGAATCCTCACACATGGTCTCCAACGCTCAGTTATTCCGATGCCCCTATCCCTTCCCATTTTTGCTTTGCAACACCCACCGTCATTCCCTCCTATCCCTCCATCGAGGGTCAAATTTCTTCCGAGCCCGCTAGGTCCTGTAGGGTGCGGCGGTGATCCTCCTTCCCCCCCTGCCTCCTCCTCGCCCTCCATCCTTCCCTCAAATTGTGTAGTCCATGATACAAGCCTCCCTGTCTCTCCGCTCCTTGTCCTCCCGTCTCTCTTTCTCCTCTTCTCCCTCTTCCTCTTCCTCCTTCCGGGAGGAGGAAGAGAGCGCGCGCATGGTCCGTCGACCTTCCCTCCCTCCCTCCCTCC